TATATATGTATATTATGATATAATACTATATTGTCGTATATTATATTATATTACAAAGAAAAACAAATAATATATATATATATATGTTAATTTATATCATGCAATATATTTATATATAGGTATAAACAGATATTATTTCTCCCATATCATATTTTATATATTATACATCATATATTATATATACAGTACATCATATATTATATATTATATATATACTATATACTAAATACTATATAATATATTACATATAAGAGTATGTAGTATATTATATTTATCTTATATATTAATGTATTGTATATTAAATTGTAAATATTAGATATTATTTACTAGATGTGATATAGTGTATACTTTATATGTTATATCAAATATTGTATATTATATACTATATATTAGATATCAAATATTATACATGATATGTTTTATATCATATGTTTTACATTATATATAATATACGATATATTGTATATTTCATATTATATATGAAATATCACAAACTATATATTACATATTATATATTGAGTATATAGTGCATAATATAGTTTTAAGAGATTGTACTTTATATATATATACATTAGATATTAAATGTTATATATCATATATTATATACTATTTTTATGCTATAGATATTATGTATTATGATTTATGTATTATATTTTATGTATTTATATCCTTTTCCCCATATAGATCATGTGTAAATATCATATGTTCCCCATCACAAAACTCTCTGGGCCACCAAGATTTTCAGCCACCTCCTGCGCTTGGTTCCACAGACACCAGGCACCGGCACAGAGAAGCACCACACCACAGCTGGCGGCACCTTGGAAGTCAGGTAAGGCCACGGTTAATGGTGCTTGATCCTGGTGATTGATAGTCGTTAACGGTGGTTCATACTGGTTGATAATGGCTGATAGTGGTTGATAGTGGTTAATGGCGGTTAATGGTGGTTAATAGTGGGGTTAACTAATTTGGTACCCTCTGATAATCGAACGGTGTGCCATGGAACGCGGCTATGGCCATTTTGGTAAATCATCCACTTTCATTTGCTACATTTTCCATGGCCATGTCAAATTACCAAAGGGTAAAACTTGGGGGTGGATTATTGTTTAGTGGTAAACACCGAAGTGATTTACTGGGAATTGCGTTGGTGAATTGAATTAAGGATCATCAATTGTTCACCAATGCCACTGAACTTTTGGTATAAAACTAGTTATTAGATACCAATATTAACTGGATCTTTTTACAAGGAATAGTTGGGTCACACTAGGGACTTCAACAAGGATGTTGGTTAATATCCCTAGTTGGAACATTTACGAAGTAAACAAATCCAGTATGTGTATGAAGCAAAGGAAACTCGAAAAAAGGGAAGCCGGTGGGTTTTTTCCCATCAAACATGGCGGTCCCAGATACCAGATAGAAACTGATATGAATCCTATCATTGGTCCAACCCATTCTGGGGATGGAGACGTAGACTTTGTCCATATCTCGCTATAGGCTTTTCATGGATAAGGTCAATGACTAAGGCCAGAAAAACATCTGAAAAACTCGTCTTTTGAAACTTTTGGTCAATTCTTGGTAACCATTTCATTTGAGACCCAAGTCTGACCCATACCCATAGAAGTCAATGACTTGATTGATACAGTCTTTGTACCGTATGGTAATTTAATATAGCTATGGGAAATGGATGAAAAATTGCTTCTTTTTATAAATGATGTTGTGTTTTCCATAGCTATGTTGAATTACCAGAATGTATATCCCAGAAACATCCAGAACTGTAATGGAATCCTGGGGAAATCTCTCTGAGCTGCCAACCCACTGCCCACGGCTGAAGGCCGGCCTTGGGCTTTTTGTATTTGGACCTCAGATCTATGCGACATCGAGGCCTACTGGTTTTTGGGTCCTTGGGGAGCTAGGGGGCCTTCACGGGCCTTCTATTGAAATGTATAACCGGATTTCAGCACGAAGAAAGGAAACAAAAATATACTAAAAGCCCGACTCATCTCATTCCAGTCTCTTCCTTGGTGTTTAGCCAATGCCAAAAACAACTCCATTGGGAGATGGTTTTATACCAACCGTTTCTGTCACTGGGGCCTGAGCACATCAGGTGTGTGGTCTGGCTTCTCCATCGTCGCCTGCCAATCACTTAGGGATGATCGAGAGGGGAAAATATGAAGCCAGAGACACACCTGCTTTCGATGATCCCCAAGTAAATCATCCCAGGGGTTAAGCTCAATAACCCCAATTTTCATCTTATTATATTATACAACTATCATTATACAATTACAATAGCCCATTTTTAACCCCAAGTAGGATCAAATAGGGATGGTTTATTGCTGGCTTCGGTACAGACCCGCCTTTCCCTCCATCAACGAGGAAATACCCGCGGCGCAAAAGGGGGCGGCCGCGATCGGGGAACACGCTGAAACACCAGTCGGGAGATTCGGTGAGCCGAGTCCAAATGGTTGGTGAATGTGGATTTCAACATGTGAATAAATGGGTTTTAATGGGGATTTAACCAGGGTTTAACCCATGAAAATAAATCACTAACTTTCATTGTTGGTCCAGATGGTTGGTGAATGATGGTTAATAAATGTGGATTTCAAAATGGGTTTTAAACATCATGGTTGATGGTCCCAAGTAGATTTGGTGGTATTAAACCCTCAAACTACTCATCAACCGAGGTTTTCTTGCGATCCAACCAGGTGCGCAGACAACTCCTGGGAAAAAAAGAAGTACTGCTGATCAGATCCAAGAATTCCAAGATATTATCTGGATATATATCAAGAAACATGTCTTGGTCTGGTGCACTGCCATCATTTTACTCTAGCGGCTTCATTGTCAGCAACAGCCGCCGGCTTTCCTCATCCACCTGGCCAAAGGAGTGGATGTTCACCAACCATCATAAGGAGGGTCACGGATAATAATGGTATTTAACGAAAACTAGTAGAGTATTATGTAAGGTTCTAGCGCAAGATAATAGCAATATGTCAAAATATATATCAATAGCAATATACTATATATATATATATAGTGAGTCTACATGTCAATTTATGTGTATAGCAACCCAAAAAAAATACAAAAGTCATGTGTCTGTCACTATTGAAGATTCGGATGTTACGGTTCTATCCTTTTGGGGATTGCTATGGTATTAAGCAACAAAGACCTCAATTCGCCTCTTTGATGCGCACACGCGCATGGCAGCCGCGAACCACCTCCTGCACCGACACGGATCAGTTTGGAGGATGAAGAGGGAATTTGTTGATAATATGGTACCAATATTTTTTATTCATACTGGCTCAATAATGCTTGTATATTAGTTGGATGATAATATGGTTGAACGATGTTTTATGATTACATTTATCCAACAACAATACTTCACATAAAATCATTCCGGAACTTTATAATCAGAGTTCTCCAACCCATTCCTTCAACTGTTCCCCTGATTTTCACATCAAAACATCTGATTGTTGCGGGTGTTCAGCTCCTCATCCATATGGGAAAACCATGGAAAGTTTTGACCCGTCCCCACATTGGTCCGATTCCTAATCCACAGTTGGATTCTGTTGAATGATCAAATTGCTGGTTTTATATATATACCATGAACTACTTATTTGATTGTTCAATATATCTACCATCTACCCAATGTAATTTCACCAGCTTTTAACCAACTGAGCGATCTGGCCATCCGAAAAAAAAATTGCGCTCGACGCCGTGGCGCGCTCCTCTGCAAAGCGTGGGCTGAAATTCGGCCGTTCCAAGATGCCAACGAAGACCTCTTGACCAACGGTCGCCTTCACCTGTTGCGTTGATGTGGGAGGGAAAAAAAAAACATGTTTTTGCTGGGAAAAATTGTTGGGATAATCAAGATCACCCAATCTGGTCAAACTCAACATGGTCAAAGTGTATGAAAAATGGTCTGGGTTGGGGAAATAATCCCTTCTCCCTATTACTAAACCTCCCCTAAATAATAAAAACTACATCATATTATTTGTTTTGGGACAATTCCTATTGGTCAATTTGACTTTTAATTGATCCCCTTCAGAAAACAATTTAAAAATCAAGGTCCATTTGAAGGTTCTACCCCCTTTGTAATAAAAACTAGTTAGCCCCGGGGTGTCTTTTATTAGGATCCGTTTGCTAAAATCGAAAATTTCAATTTCTTTATAATTAAGGTTTTAAATTTGATATTAGGGGAAAGCTTCGAAATTCAATTTTTGGCAATATTTTTATTTAGACTTTAAACAGGAATTTAATCCATGTTGAAATCGGAATTTTTAGTTCTTTAATTAAGGTTTTTAATTTGATATTAGGGGAAGGAAAGCTTCGAAAACCAATTTTTGGCAATGTTTTAACTAGATGTTAAAAGGGAATTTAATTGATTTTGAAATCGAAAATGATAGTTTTTAAATTAAGGTGCTGAATTCAATATTAGCGGAAAGCTTCGAAATCCAATTTCCGCAATATGTAAATGAGATTTTACAAGGGAATTAAATTGATTTTGAAATCGTTTTTTTTAGTTGTTTACTAACGTGTTTATTTTGTTATTAGGAGCCAGCTTCTCCCCGAATATTAAATACCCCCCAATAATAAAAACTACCCCTCGGTTTTATTATTTGGTAGGGGGGGATATTTAATATTAGGGTGAAGGGATTACATGACGGCTCCTTGCTCCTTCCGCAGGTTGGACAGAAAACCGCACCGGAGTGCCTTTACGTAGACCGCCCAGTTAGACATCATCACGACTTCACCATCAAGCCACTCCTGCGGCTTCCGTCTTCACTATGCTGATCCCTGAAACAAGGCGCATGCCTAATATATCCCCAAGATATCCCTATCCCAAGATGTTGCTGGTTTCCGGCAGAGCTGTCACCATATCTCACCACCACCTTGATCCACTACAGTCCTCCCTGGAGATCTCTTTGAATGCATCCAGCTTGGCTGGCCTCTTCCAGCAGGGCACCAGGCAACAAGAAAGGATCACATGTGACGCACATGGTGTCAACATGCATCAACTAGTCAATGAGAACAGGCTATCAAGTGTGGTCACTGTGGTCTGATAGTCTGGGACTGCCTTGTAGTGTCTGCCACAAAACGTTCTGGACGTTCCAGCGGGCCCGACCGCAAAGTCAAGTGAAGTTTACCTAGGTTGCCCCAATGACCCATTCCCGAACGAACTGGGCCAGTGCACGCGACCACTCGAATGATGGAAGGTACAGTACCAGTCAGTTGAGATCGCGTCTCTCAAATTCAAAAGATTCCACCATCTCAAGTTGCATGCCCCTAACTTTCCAATGATTTCTTGCAACTCAGAATCTTCCCGCTTGTAAAAAATAATTCCAGGGAAATATTGGTCGCCAGTCTGAGTACATTTTTCCAAGGAACCCGTATCTCCATGTTCACCAAAAGGATCTGGCTCACCGTGATCGTCGATCCTGCAAACGTAGCTGGTTCATGCCTACTCTTCGAAGGAAAAATCCATAGGCTATCCTGGACTACAGCTGAACTCACCTACACAGTCCTTTGCGAAGCATCAAACTCCGGTTCCAATCAAAAGCGAAAAGTGTGATGCAACGCCACCTCTCCTGGCATGAGGATTCACATCCAACACCCGCGCATGGATCGTTTCTCCCGGCTGGAAACGGAAAGGTCCCTCAGCCGGAAAGCCTTCAGCAAACTCCTGGCAGCCGCTGTGGCAAAAACCACATGCAGAAGATGCACAAGTGACAAGTACGTGCACATATATATATATGCGTGTGTGTATATCGCATGTGATCTGGGATCTTTGTATGTCATGATTTTTAGTTTGATCATCAGTTCCTGGTTCCTCTCCCCCGAAAAGGAACAAAGTATGATCCTCATATGGAGGTCTCCTAAAATGGTGGTACCCCTAGTTATCATCCATTCTAGTTTGGGATTTTCCATCAAAAAAACACCCAGCTATTGGGGAATCCCCATTTGTGGAAATCCCCATGTGGTAAACCACCCCCTTGTTGTCCCCAACGACTTGCCATGGTGTCCGGGTGCTCGCCTCCACCTCCAGAAACGCCAGGGTGTCGCAGCAGCCCACGTCCACCGAGACGCCTCCGGGGCAGTAGATCTGCACCACGGTGCCCACCACCGAGTCGCCCTCCTCGCGGAACGCTCGAGGAGTCGAGGTCTGAGAACTAAGATCACTAACGGACAAAGGCATATATGAGTTCATATTTACATCTATCTATATATATATACGTATATATATATACATATATATATATATACATATATATATATACATATATATATATACGTATATATATGTATACATATATATATATACATATGTGTATATACATATATATATATGTATGCGTGTACTTAATATATATATATACATATATATATATATATTGATTTTTTATTTGCCCATTTACATATGTATGTACATATGTATATATATATGCACATACCTATATATATATATATTCATGTATACATATGTACGTATGTATATGTACATATGTGTATATGTATACATACATAGGTAGGTAAGTAGGTAGGCAGGCAGGCAGGTAGGTAGATTGGGATGTTATTGTGATTTATGAAATTTGATTGGATTCATGGGTTTGCATTTTTCTCGAGTTTTGATGTAGCAAGGCTGCTTTGTACGTTCATGAAAGTATGTGGGGTTGTGCGGGATTGTATAAGACTGCGAGGGATTGTACGGATTGTGGGGTTATGGAAGAAAATTGGAATACAGGGGAACTTCCAATAAAGATAGGATGCTACTGTTGAAATCTGCAATTTGCCTGGCTAAGCACATGTGTGTGTACATTATCTTATATAGTTATGTATACGTATGTACGTAGGAGATACACCGAAGAAGGCTAAGACGCAAACATTGTATATGTGTGTGTGTGAATCATGTTGGACAACTCACTCAGAACAGCTTCACTTGGAGGATGTTGCGTGACCTGCTTGATTGATGCCCCCACTCTCCTTGAGCAGTTTAACATTCGCAAGCAGAAATAGACCCATTCCGCATGGTGGTTATCTGAAGGATTCGGCATGATCATGAATCATCATCACTATCATCACTATCATCACTACATCAGTCCCTGCAAGTGCATAAACTACTAAAATTGATGTTGTAAGCCTAATAATTAACCATCTTTCTCATCGCCCCCCAAATGGTTTGTTAATGGGATGGTTTATGGCATTTGGTTTACCACATTACGTAATCTTGCTGGTGCTGATTAGGGAATGAGGGAATGATCCATCATAACTTTTAATAATAATCCCATTTCCCCATTCCCATCCATTCCCCATATATATATATATACAACTCAATATATATATATATATATTGATTTGTTTATTTTCATTTATATTTATAACATTATATCAACTATCTTACCAGCTCAAACTCCATCGAATGTTCCTGGTGAGAGTAGCAGGTGGTATGCTATGGTGGAATTGCAATCTTCGCGCAGCTTCGAAGGGGGTGGCAACCAAGAAGCCATGATTGGTTTGAGAAGGCGAGGGAATTGCCCCATCCATTGAGACACCTTGAAATCTTAGATAAACATTTCCCCACAGAAGAATTTCCAGCAGCGCAATATATGCCCCGGCGCAGATTGCTCTACCCAGTATATACCAGGCAAACCCATTGCATTTTGGTCACCGATGATGTTGAGCAGCGATATGTAAATTATCAAGTATGTGCCAGGTATATGTAAAAATATAATGCTCAGGACAAGATACGCTGTTGAGCACCGCTATATACCAAGTATGTGCCAAATATTTAGTGCTGATGACAAGAAACGCCGGAATCTTGTATTGCTCGCCCTATCAGTAGCAATATTTTTTGTGGAGCAAGACAGAATTCCTTCAAGGTGTCTGTTTTTGGAGGTTGCTGGCTTTTCGGCGTTCATTTGGTTTCCTTCGCAGTTTAGAATCAATCATCCGAAGACTTTGGGCTTCTATTTTGGCTGCCGTTGAGGCATGCAAAATGCAGCGCGTTTTTTTTTGAATGGGTATGGGTTTCTAAACGGCAAGCCAAGGGGTCTGCTTGCTCTTGACGCTGTTTCATCCCCATGCACCGCTGCGATGGCATTTTAATTCTAAGGCTCAGCAGCTGTGGCGCTGGCGGCAAGGGTCTTCCGCGCGTAGAGCGCCGTGCCGTTCTCCTCTGCTCGACTTCAAGGCCGACCGGATCAGGCATTGTATCAGATACATACACACAATCACATAATTTTATGTAATATCAGTATCTGATCTAATTATTTCCATCTTCGTTCAGCCCTATTTCTTTCTCCGCCATGTCTGGTCTACAGAAGTCTGCGACATATACCATGCCGACTCCAACATCGAACGTTTGATGTCCTTTACGAAGAGAAGCTGGGGTGCAGCGGGGTTGTCGTGGTCCCCGATGCGGAGCAGGCACCCTGATTCCATTTGTGTTCTATGAAAATACCCAAATGGGGCATCCCGCGCTGATTTTGGGGCGTTCAGTGCCGACGCGAGTGAAAACGCAACGGCCACATTGTATTGATTGCGGATGGACTGTGCTGTTTGGAATGAAGACGTGAAAGCCACTTTGAAAACGTGTTAAGCCATGTTAGGATATGTGCGCTAGTTTGAATGCAAACACAAAACCCATTGTGCTATGAGTTGGCGTGATAATGTCTTTTGGAATGAAAGCAACAAAGCCATTTCCTGACTTTGGTCATTTAGACACTGGAAATGACTGATCGAGCCTGGTTTCACCTCCTTGGTCTTCCAAGGAATGGTAAAATGTGGTAAAAGCTCGGCGCCAAGCTCCCGCTCCAGACGGCAGTCTTCCGACAGCAGGTCTGGTCAACAGACCGCCCAGTTGTCCTGCATAGCCCCCAAAAACGAATCCTACAATATAGTTATATGGACATGCCCCTTCTCACCCTGATGTTAATTTGCAAGCCGGGCTTCGCTTGACAAAGTTTCGGCCGCATTCTTTAGATCAGCATTGGAGTTCGAACAAGATGAAAAAAAGAATGAGGGAAATGCTGGTTTGGTTTGCTTGGGCTTGCTTGCTGGCTGCAACATGTCACTGTCACATGCCAGATTGCTTCTGACGCCACCGTATCAAAAAGCATATTAAATAAAACCCTCTTTTCGAGGCAAATGGAGCCGTCCGAAAAAAGAAACAAACCCTGAGAAAAGATTTTGGTTTCGCACCAGACAAGACAGGAGCTCAGCTAACATGTGAAAGCATCTATTAATGCTGTTTTAAAATCCATATAGGGCGCTGTTCTCCAGTAGGGGCTGGATGTTCATTCCGTCCCGGCGCGAGCCCTGAGCTGGTAGCCCTCCGTCACCAATGCGGTAAGGCCCCAATGTCTCCGGGTCCGTGAAGGGTGGCAGGACAGGGAATCCTGCATTGTCGACCTCGATGACCAAGGTCTAGCGGATGTACTTTTACCAGCCAGGTTGGATATGATATATTCTTTACCAGCCAAAAGTATGTGTATATATATAGATATATATATATATAATCCCAATCCCCCATTCCCATCCATTCCCTACTAAGCACCAGTAAGTCATATTACTACCATCAGCATCATCATCTATCATCCGTCCCCACCCAGTTTGGTTTCGCCTGAAATTCCTCAAGCTTTTTGCCAGACAAGGCGACACCCACACCACGACCAGAAGGAGCAGCCCCACGCCGCACCTGGTGAAGTGGGGTTCAAATTCAGATCACAGATACCAGAACCACCTGGAAAGAGATTGAACAAATAGATATCAAGAGTCAAAGATCTTCTGAAGCTTTGGGAAAGTAGTGAGATGCAACTTGCGCAGATCTCTCCAGTCAGTTGCGCCGATTCTCTTTAGCGGGATGATCTAATCATCATCTCCCTACATCTGTAATGCCTTCATTCCGAATTTATAAGCATTACGCTTGCACTGAAGGATCTGTGATCAAACTCCACCAGCACTTTAAAACAAAACACACATGGGCCTGTCGCAAAGGGACAGCAATGGCCGCGGGCATTGCTTTGAATGCCTCCAGGGACCCAAAAATGCGCTATCCAATAATGATGACAACCCAATCAAACATGATCAAACCAAGTAGTATCTACTATACACGATGTATGTACTAGTTAATGATAGTCAAGGGTGGGTGCAAATTACCCTCATCACAATCCCAGTTTGTATTCCACCATATGCTATCATAGCAGTTTTTCTAAAAATATGGCAACCTCCAAATCCCACGATTTATTATGGTTAATATCATCATTCTCCCCAGTAAAATTGCCATCAATTACGGTATCGTCTGTTCTTGGACCAACCCTGAAAAAAGGGGATGGCTCCTGTACCCCCACCGAGAAATATGTTCATCCCCGCGTTCATAGCTGGCGTTTAAAGGTATTGATCCATAACCATCTGGATTTGTCTGAAAATGGGGCACCCCATTTCATCCATTGGTTTCTCATCATTTTCCCCTTCCCCAAACGTCCTGGAACTATGCCAAGATCAACTGAACGAAGCTCCGTTGCGAATGGAAGCAGATTGGAAGCACCTAACTAACGGAATTAATTGCTAATTGTCTGTACGAATTATCCTCAAGCTTGTCAAGAGGTTGTTTGAATTAGCTCTGACCTATTTCACTATGGCATTTCAAGTGCAACTAGTCAGAGGCCTTTGCAGGCTTATGGCGCTTTCTGTCATTTCTTTTTTATTTGTGTTTTCTTTTTGCCAGATGCGATTTTTGCAGTTGTGCCATAGAACAGCTCTTGTGTTGTCTTGTCTTATCATCAGTTTCCCTCCCAAAAAAAAAAACATAACTGGTCTTTTATAGGATTTTCCATCCAAAAAAACATCCAGCTATTGGATTTTTCATTGGGGTATCCCCGTTTATGGAAACCCCCTGTGTTGGTTGTACATTCCCATGGATTTTCCCCTTCGAAAACGGCGCTTTGTTGCGGCACCTGCTGCAGCCCGCTGCTCCGCGGCCAAACACCGCCACTTCTGGCGCTGCAGCGAGGCGTCAACGGCAGGGCGAGGCGCGGCCATGGCTTCAACATGGTAAGGGCCATGGGAAATCAATCTTAACAGTCCTGGGGCCCTGGGGTAAGCTAAGATAGATGCAGAAAATGGATGAAAATGATGATTTGCCTAGAGAAAATGGTGATGTTCATTGATTTTTCACATCTATGTTAGTTGACCCTAGGGTAACATGCAGGGTTTATGAAGTCGGGTTTACCGCAGGAACAATCTGGGCTGCAAACTTCGATATTGAGAAGAGGAGTCTGTTGCTGAGTTGGCACTTTGGAAAAATGTCGGTAGATCGCAAGAGGAGATGTCATCTCAAATGGTCGCAATTGCTGAACACCTTGGATTACGTGATATTCAAACTCTGAAAGATGGAAATATGTTCAAATTCATGTATATTCAAACTCTCAGATAGAAAGAGTGCAAGAGTTCAAGATCTCGTAGCAAGTTCCCCATACCTGGGTTTGCAATTGGCTTCAGGTGCTGCTCTCTATACCAAGCCTGGCATGTGTTGAGATCCATTTGGCTGACTGCACCCATTGGCAGGGAATAATTCTCACAGTGTCGACAGTTTGGGTACCCCAAGAATTTGATGACAAATCTATAATCATATAGTATCTATTATGTATCTATGTATGCATGCATGTATGTAATCATATAATTGTATATACAGTATTGTACATTCCAGAAAGGGCAAAATGTGGTCATAATAATTTACATCTACGGAATATACATGCCTATTTCTACACATCTATAATTTATAACTCCAAGGGCCCAACGGTCCAATATGGTCCAATCCCCAGCACTTTTCCATCGCCCAGTCTCCCCCACGTCAACGTAGAATTGTGTGGGCGAGCACGGCTCGCCCTGGGCAAGATTACCGAGGCTGAGTCCCCAGTGAGCAAAGAGTCACCAAAGGTATATATAGGTATATGTTTGTATATTATATGCATGTGAATGTGTATATATATATATGTGTGTACAAATGATTATATTTACATATACATATGATTATGTATGTAGGCATACGTGTTTATATATAGTGTATATATATATATGTATATATACATATGATTACGTATATATGCACATGTGTTGATATATGTGTCTGTGTGCATATGTATATATATATATATATATGTGCATGTGTATATATCTATATGCATATGTATATATCTAGATATATGCATTTGTATATATGTATGTATATACATATGCATATGTATATATAATCTAATCTAATCTATGTATCTATCTACGCAATTTATATCTATATGCATATGTATGTGTATACTATATATATATATACGTACAGTATATACATGTTCTGATATTGTCACATGCACAGCCAGAGTTTTCTCTCAGTAGTCCAAAAGAATGGAGTAAAGCTGTTGCGGCTTCTTCGCTCTCCAAGCAATAGCGCCATTCCCAAAACCGAGTTTTCGAGTCATCTGGAACCAGAGAATTCCAGGAACGATCTCTGTCGACCCTGTGCCAACCCTCAAGTCTTGAGTGGGTTCCGCAAAGAAGTCTCTGATGATACAAGGATATCAGGCCCTAATATCTGGCCAGGCTGTTGTACTGAAGAATACGTACCATTGCTGAATTGGTAAATTTGATGCTTAGTCTCTCACCCATGGAATTTGGCAACCTTTGGAATTTGGAACATGTTGGAACCAATTAGGAATACGTACCTTTTTAGGCCACAACTCCTCCGCTACACGTTTTGGAATCGTGCTCGCCGCGTACAGCTTGGTGTGTTTGCGGCTTGAACACGCTTGGATTTCGAGACGGGAAATCGCGAGACCACAGCAGATTGATAAAAATGAATGGAAAATGCAGATTCCTTCCCTTGCATTTCATCACCCTGCATCGTGGAAGTGACGGCCACATGGGGACGGTTTAAAGCCGATTCCATATTTTGGAGGGGATGAATATCCATGTGTTAATTTGATATTCCTGGTTTTGACTCATAGCCATATTCTTGGACCATCAACCTGCTGTGTTAAGTCTCCTGCACAGCTGAAGTCGCCATGCCTATGCTCCGACGAAAACACGTCCCTGCAGGGGCAATATGAATGGCAAGCCTCCAGCGAAACAAGTCCTTCATCTGCCATGGCGCTTTGTTGATCGTTGACACCCCGGAGTTTGGTGAACCATCTGGACTGTCGAATTGGAGGGGAAACAATTTAATTAACAGCAAATGATCTCTATTTGGGAGGAATCAACCATGCAGGGGATGAATATTTTCAGCTGAAATTTATCATGTCGCCATGGCGTTTCTCACTACTGTGTCGCTCAGGGTCCAGGGTCTCGGACCGGGCCATGGAGAGAAAATGAAGAACTTCCAGTTGGAAAGCACGAATTACACTTAAAAGGTCTCAAAACTGTGCCAACATCGATAACTACTGTCCGAATAGTCCGACCTTTTTTGGAGGGAATCTGCCGCTTGCGGCATAAAAGAATGGATTGCTGTCCAGGCAAGACCGACAAGTCTCCAGCCTTCTGCAAAAATGACCCAAATGAAATGAGATCCGTGGAAGGTGGGGGCCCTTGCAGCCATCGGCAACAACCGTAGGGCCGCAGCGGAAGTTGAGTAGAGTGGCATGTGAACAACATAGAACCAGGCCAGAAAAACAAAACCATGAAATGAATGAAATGGAGTTCCCAGCCAGGTGGAAGCAAGTGCATCTGGGTCATTAATCTTGTGGGTCTTGGTGCTTTTAAATGTGTAGCGTGCGAGAGTGTCCCTCAGCATACCCACAGCTAGGTTTTTTCTCGCAATGATGGGCCAGGTCGTCACAAGAAAGGCCCTGGCACAAGTGCCAAAGAGCAACTTGTCGAACTTGCTGTCTATCTGTTCTAGAAGAAAAATGTTGTTGCTTCCAAACCAACACAAAAAGTGACGCCGTGGCTGCCAAAAGATGGAAACATCTTTGGATCCTTGAAATGTCGCTCCGGATTTCATCATCCATCAGCCCTGGGCACCATGGGACTGCAAGACTGCGCCCCAAAAACCTGTGGCGCTCATGATCTAGGTCCAAAGATTTACAGTAACATTGTGAGGAGTATGTGTTGTCAATCACTTGAAACTTTCCAACATCGTGAGGGAAATACCTGGTTCACAGGTCCTCAGACATTCCAGGGAACAGTTTCTAAGAGCAAAGTCCTTGAACAGCCGGAACAACTAGAGGGGGTGTCCGATAATCATCATTTTCTCCATGGCCATAAAATGGCCATAAAATGGGTGAATAATGGTGAATATGATGATTGCCTCCATTGGAATCCATTGAAAGACCATGAAAATCCAATCCAGTCCACCATTGAGAACCACCATTTCCCAATCCGGAAGCCTCAACCACCTCCGCGGCTTCTTGCCCTCAATCTGCCTGGCACAGCAGACAACATTAAAAAACAAAAACATTAATTGAAATCACCATATTAATGGCTAGTTTAATTATATCAAATCAATGAGTAATGGATTAAATGCACTCATTGGTCAATTAACCTAGTTGACCAAATGTTTGATTTACCAATTGATTTACCAGTGCTCTTATCCATTATTAACTGGTTAAGACTTTTCATTGGCAATCACTGTCATTAGATTAACATCACAATAGAATACAATAGATTATTAACATTTATTAACCAATCATGTTACTATGGATGATTAACCAGTTGTGATGAAATCACTCTAATTTTAATTGAAAACAAATCCGCCGACCCATCCAAGGGGGAGCGCGCTGGAAAAGCTTGGTAAGGCGTGAGCACGCGATGATTTTTGGAGGTTTGGGCGGTCTTGTCCCCGGAAAAACGGACTTGCCTCCCAAGCAGGGTCCGGAAGTTTGGTTTTAAGCACTTTTTGGCACGCATTTGACATGTTTTTTGGCGCGCACCGGTATTTTTGCATGCCGCTGACCAAAAACACGGGTATTTATGCAGTTTTGAGCACGCTCACTTTATTCAAAACCAGCGGTTTCAAGGGCCATCCGGTCTTCAAACAATGCTTCGCATGCTTGTTGTGGCGCCGCGAAGCATATGGCTTCAGCATATTCCTGGCAGGGCGACAGCCCTTAAATGAACTTCATTGACCAAATGATGATGAACCAAGCGATTTACCAATGATATTAACCATGATTAACTGGTAGTACTTCTTATTGGCCATCACTATGATGAAATATGATGAAATATTGGAATATTATGGAAAATAAAAAATCACTATTGGTAGAGTAATCAATCACTACTCTGGCCAATATATTTGGAGAAACACTCCAGGGCTGTTCCCACTTTTTTTGTCGTAGGTCACCTCGGAGGCCAACGTAGTCCACTCGTGCGGCTGCTTTGCGGGCCTCGATGGTAACACATGTTCAGCCGTCAAACTCACATCAAAAGAACGTCTGCCAATGTGTAGGTAGGGGTCGAAATCGCATACCCCAAAAAATGGATTAAAAGTGGATGCTTCAGATTGTAAATGATCTGAATCTCTGGTCCTCCAAGGCTTAAATTTCGACCCATCCCGCGTCACCCGAGTGCCAGGCGGGTCTTTCCTTCCAGTCACGGGTAGGCTTAAGCTCCCTGTCGGGAATTGGAACTCCCAGTTGCGGCAAGGCCCTAGCGCAGTGCAGCTCTGAGAATGCGGACATGCCACTTGGTCAACTTGGAAAAAAGGACTTAAAATAAAGATGTTGATCGTGTTTTGGGGGAACCCAAAAATGTTGATTCTACCAAAAAAAATGTGAGAGGAATCAGATCTAGATTTAGATATGACCTATTCCAAATATGGTGCGCATATCAGGTCTTCATCCAGAGGTCCACACCTGTCATAGCTGACCTGGCGTTGTTGATGTCGACCAGACCAGTCTTCCATCATCATTATGGGATCTGCAAACCCCCATGAAACATAGTAGAAATCTTGGTGTACCCTTTCATGCTGAATTTCCTCCATGAACACTTGAATTTCAACGAATTTTGCCAGCATCTGAAGAAAGCACGGGTGCTCATATGGGCTGTCACCACACAGAGGTTCCCAGTTTTCACTGTCTCTGATTCCAACTGCAAGCTACCAAGTCCTACCCAAAAAATGGCCCAAACGAGCATGGCAGTAGAAACCTGACTAGCATAAGCTCCTAGTAACTCGTATCTCAACAGCACGTCCCATTTCTCCGGCGCCTCAGAGCGGTTCCTCCTGCGAAGCAAATCTTTCACCCTGCGAACCTCAGTAGACGCAGAGCAGGACTGTGGCCTTGATGGTCAAGGTCTGAAGCAAAATTAGGAGATCTAAACATTGCAGTCGCCCCCGGTATCCCCCGGCAGGAGCTTGTGCGCTTCTCAAAACCAGGATCGTTTCCGTCATGGAAACTTTTTGTGGAAAGAAATCAAGTGAATTAGCAAAACGAATTCTCGACCTAACTTGGCAAAAACACTTTCTTTTGTTATCACCGAAGCGCTTCGTCCAACGGGCCGCTTGTCTGTACAGAGGACTCTTTTTGGTCCGGAATTGAGCCGAGGACACAACTCCAACTAGAAAGTGTTCATATCTCAACAGTGAGCTGTGAGCAAAACTCCCCCAGGGCAAGTATCAGTGACGCGAAGTGAAGTCATCATGCTATCACTACCGGGAGGAGCACTGGGTGTCAACAACAGACTTATAGCGCATAACATGTGACTTTTTATACTTTTTGGGGGGAGGTTCATTGCACAGCAGCTCTCATGGCATTTCACAACGTATCATTCACTTCGAAACACTATGTGGGTTTGTCTGAAAATTTAGGGGAAAACCCCTTCTTCCAATGGATTAGGACTTCATGTTCATCATGGTCCCTATTATATAAACTGGTTATATCTATGGCTATCCCCTATTTTCAGACCGCTATGTGCCGACACAGCCACTTGAGTCCAGCCTCCTTTGGGGGATGTGTTGCTAACAAATTGGTCAAACTCGGAGATTCTGCGGTTGGCTTAATGGGGATTCAGATTCATGATGTTTCTTGATAGCATCCCCATCAAGCCTCTGAGTAACTCTAAGTAAGATGTAGTATGAACCTATCAAAGTAGTCAACAGTGGTCAAGTGGCTGCTCATTCAAAACAGTGGTTTCCGCTCTTTGGATCTCTTTGGCATGAAACTTGAAACGCAAACGCAACTCGCACGTTGTTCTTGATTAGAACTTGAAGAAAATGATATCAGGTGGTATGGCTCTTGAATTCGGTTCAAGAACTTCGAGCCAGTGCCAAATCTCTATAGTACTGTTTGAAAATTCTCCTCTGTCATTTCTGTCAGTTCTCCTTTCTTGCACTTGGCCTGTTCTGTGGCCTGTGCATCTTCCTCTCCTCCTTTCTTCACGGACTGGTCTTTTGCAGAGTCGCGTGTCACCTTTGACTTGCAGGAAGAAGCTTCGAAGTATGGATCTGCTCTGATGGGTGCCAAGCAAAGAACCCCTCGACTTTGGAGGCGCAAGCTCAACAGCACAGTTGAGGCGGTGATCACTCCAGCCACCGAAAAAAAGCAGCCCGGAGCCCATGGGGCCACATCATGCGAAGCTTCACAGATCAGGGGAGCGAAGCCGCCAAAGATGCAGAAGCCAATGTTGTAGCTCATCCCAACACCAACGTTACGAATCTCCACTGGAAAGAACTCCACCACATACGGAGATCTAAACATTGCAGTCGCCCCCGGTAGCCCCCGGCAGGAGCTTGTGCGCTTCTCAACACCAGGATCGTTTCCGTCATGGAAACTTTTTTTGTGGAAAGAAATCAAGTGAATTAGCAAAACGAATTCTCGACCTAACTTGGCAAAAACACTTTCTTTTGTTATCACCGAAGCGCTTCGTCCAACGGGCCGCTTGTCTGTACAGAGGACTCTTTTTGGTCCGGAATTGAGCCGAGGACACAACTCCAACTAGAAAGTGTTCATATCTCAACAGTGAGCTGTGAGCAAAACTCCCCCAGGGCAAGTATCAGTGACGCGAAGTGAAGTCATCATGCTATCACTACCGGGAGGAGCACTGGGTGTCAACAACAGACTTATAGCGCATAACATGTGACTTTTTATACTTTTTGGGGGGAGGTTCATTGCACAGCAGCTCTCATGGCATTTCACAACGTATCATTCACTTCGAAACACTATGTGGGTTTGTCTGAAAATTTAGGGGAAAACCCCTTCTTCCAATGGATTAGGACTTCATGTTCATCATGGTCCCTATTATATAAACTGGTTATATCTATGGCTATCCCCTATTTTCAGACCGCTATGTGCCGACACAGCCACTTGAGTCCAGCCTCCTTTGGGGGATGTGTTGCTAACAAATTGGTCAAACTCGGAGATTCTGCGGTTGGCTTAATGGGGATTCAGATTCATGATGTTTCTTGATAGCATCCCCATCAAGCCTCTGAGTAACTCTAAGTAAGATGTAGTATGAACCTATCAAAGTAGTCAACAGTGGTCAAGTGGCTGCTCATTCAAAACAGTGGTTTCCGCTCTTTGGATCTCTTTGGCATGAAACTTGAAACGCAAACGCAACTCGCACGTTGTTCTTGATTAGAACTTGAAGAAAATGATATCAGGTGGTATGGCTCTTGAATTGGGTTCAAGAACTTCGAGCCAGTGCCAAATCTCTATAGTACTGTTTGAAAATTCTCCTCTGTCATTTCTGTCAGTTCTCCTTTCTTGCACTTGGCCTGTTCTGTGGCCTGTGCATCTTCCTCTCCTCCTTTCTTCACGGACTGGTCTTTTGCAGAGTCGCGTGTCACCTTTGACTTGCAGGAAGAAGCTTCGAAGTATGGATCTGCTCTGATGTGTGCCAAGCAAAGAACCCCTCGACTTTGGAGGCGCAAGCTCAGCAGCACAGTTGAGGCGGTGATCACTCCAGCCACCGAAAAAAAGCAGCCCGGAGCCCATGGGGCCACATCATGCGAAGCTTCACAGATCAGGGGAGCGAAGCCGCCAAAGATGCAGAAGCCAATGTTGTAGCTCATCCCAACACCAACGTTACGAATCTCCACTGGAAATAACTCCACCACATACAAGAAATAGACCATGCCAGTGAAGGCCAATATGATGCCATAACCAACTCCATAGAAGACAACCACTGCTTCATTGCTCTGAGCATTGCTTTGCATGGCCAGGAAATTTGGGATGCCTCGAAAGGGAAGATGAGTTTATCATCATGTTTCCACCAACAAAAACTTCTTTTGGGGGTTTCCCCATTTCCCCGGCCAAGAGCGGTTCCACAAGTGTCAGCGACTTTGTGGATCATCACATACAGTTTGCAGGTGTGGATGTTCCACACGAATTCACCCAAATCAAACACAGCAAATGATTATCACCAGCTCAAAATTGGAATGCCGAAAACAAAATATGTGCATCATCTAACCCTTAACATCCTCAACAAAAGGTCCAAAAATTACATGGTCCAAACATCAAAAAAAAAATGGACCAAACATCACCAAACCATGTCCAAACCATTTTTTTTCCAACCCCCCCATGTTGCACCCGTTTTTTCACCACACCTGCAATGGCCAACATTAAAGCTCCAAGGAGTTGGAGCCAGGCCACGCCCTGGACATCCGCAATGGCGCCGGCCACGGGAGCCAGCACAATGGCGAGACCACGGGCCACCACTCCAGCCTGGGAGGATAGGATCAGCCGGAACCATTGAATAATTTTTTTTAAACCATCAGAAGATCCGTTGGTGATAGGAATTTGATTCGAAAAAATCAATGATTTTGGCTTAGCATTGGAGAATTTTGGAGAATAATTCAAAGCTGAGAAATGATGTCAAATTGAAGCAGCAACCCTGCAGGATTGCCACTGTGAATCCATGCTATTTTTTGATCCTACAAGATAACTCAAGAAAAACGGTTGCTCGAAGTTGAAGATCAAAGCCACCGCAATCAAGCTCGAACTTGAGGCACCTTCTTTTCGAAGAAGCACATAACACCATGCCAGTGCGCCATATTGCAACACCGCAATCGCTGCAACTGACATGATACCAACCTTACATTTGCGGGGAGGGGGCGGGAGGGGCCAAGAAAATCAATCAATACTCCCACACTCCCAGTAGATGTTCCAGTTCCTGGTGGATTCAAAAAAGAAATGTTCAGCACATCCAAACCCCTAATCATCCCCATTCTTGTTTGATCCTGCGTTTATATATCCGCCGACCCCGCCTGCAGCAGGGGGAGCGCGTCAGAGGAGAAGTTACCAGCAGCAAGTGTCCGTTCAGAAAGCAACGGTAAGCAGTATAGGCCGTTACCCGGAGGCCCGTTCCGTCCCTCATTGCCATGCTGTTTGACTGTGGTGAAGGCGCTCTTTTCGAGCCTTGGCCGCTGGGCGTTTCGAGGCTTGGCGGCAGGCAAGTTTTGAAAAAGACAGCTAGTTTCTTGTCCGTTCAGAAAGCGACGTTTGGCACTATACTGCTGGCCGCAGGCCCGATCCGTCCTTCAATGCCATGGTGTTTTAGCCCTGCGACGCCGTCCTTGGACCTGAGGTGTCCCAGACGAAGCCAGCAAGCTTTAGCCCTGCGAGAGGGTCCTTTGACCGGAGCCGTGCAGGAAAGCCAGCTGCAAGAGGACGCAAGCAAATTGGAAGCTGGCAGTGGAGGAAGGCAAGCAAATTGAAGGTTCGAAGCTAGTTTAGCAACGTTTGGCACTATGGGCAGTCGGCCGCGGGCCCGATCCGCCCCTCACTGCCATGGTGTTTTAACCCTGCGACACCGTCCTTGGACCCGAGCTGTGCCAGACGAAAAACACCTGCAAAACGCAGCAAGCAATTTGGAAGCTGGCAGTGCAGAACGGCAGGTACAGGCAAGGTTTGAATTAGTTTCTAGGCAGTTCAGAAAGCAACGTTTGGCACTATGGGCAGTCGGCCGCGGGCCCGATCCGCCCCTCACTGCCATGGTGTTTTAGCCCTGCGACACCGTCCTTGGACCCGAGCTGTGCCAGACGAAAAACACCTGCAAAACGCAGCAAGCAATTTGGAAGCTGGCAGTGCAGAACGGCAGGTACAGGCAAGGTTTGAAGCTAGTTTCTAGGCAGTTCAGAAAGCAACGTTTGGCACTATGGGCTGCCGGCCGCGGGCCCGCTCCGTCCCTCACTGCCATGGTGTTTTAGGTTTTAGCCCTGTGAGAGGGTCCTTTGACCGGAGCTGTGCAGGACGAAAGCCAGCTGCAAGAGGACGCAAGCAAGTTGGAAGCTGGCAGTGCAGGAAGGCAAGCCAATTGAAGGTTGGAAGCTAGTTTCTACGCAGTTCAGAAAGCAACGTTTGGCACTATGGTCCTTCAATGCCATGGTGTTTTAGCCCTGCGACACCCGGACGAAGCCAGCAAGTTTTAGCCCTGCGAGAGGGTCCTTGGACCGGAGCTGTGCAGGAAAGCCAGATGCAAAAGGACGCAAGCAAGTTGGAAGCTGGCAGTGCAGGAAGGCAAGAAAATTGAAGGTTCGAAGCTAGTTTCTAGGCAGCTCAGAAGTTTGGCACTATGGGCTGTCGGCCGCGGGCCCGATCCGTCCGTCACTGCAACAATTGTCACGCCTGCCACGCCAAACGCAGGTAGATGTCGCCAAGTGCCACGCCTGCCACGCAAATGGAACGTCAACGTCACCAAGCGCCACGCCTGCCACCCAAAGTGGCGCAGCGCCCCGGGCGACTAACGGCGACCAACCGCGCCACCAGAGCCAGCCAAGTGCAACAAGTGCCACGCCTGCCACGCCAAACGCAGGTAGATGTCGCCAAGTGCCACACCTGCCACTGAAAGAGAGTGTGTGACAAACTTGTGTGTGAAAGATGGTGTGTGACAAAGTTGTGTGTGAAAGATGGTGTGTGACAAAGCTGTGTGTGAAAGAGTGTGCGAAAGATGGTGTGTGACAAAGTTGTGTGTGTGAAAGGTGTGTGACAAAGTGGTGTGTGTGAAAGAGTGTGTGACAAGTGTGTGACAAAGCGGTGTGTGAAAGAGAGTGTGTGACAAAGTTGTGTGTGTGAAAGAGAGTGTGTGACAAAGTGGTGCGTGAAAGAGTGTGTGAAAGATGGTGTGTGACAAAGCTGTGTGTGAAAGATGTGTGACAAAGTTGTGTGTGAAAGAGTGTGTGAAAGATGGTGTGTGTGTGTGTGTGACAAAGTTGTGTGTGAAAGAGAGTGTGTGACAAAGCTGTCTGTGAAAGAGAGTGTGTGACAAAGTTGTGCGTGAAAGAGTGTGCGAAAGATGGTGTGTGACAAAGTTGTGTGTGAAAGAGTGTGCGAAAGATGGTGTGTGACAAAGTTGTGTGTGTGTGAAAGGTGTGTGACAAAGTGGTGTGTGTGAAAGAGTGTGTGACAAGTGTGTGACAAAGCGGTGTGTGAAAGAGAGTGTGTGACAAAGTCGTGTGTGAAAGAGAGTGTGTGACAAAGTTGTGTGTGAAAGAGTGCGTGAAAGATGGTGTGTGACAAAATTGTGTGTGAAAGAGAGTGTGTGGCAAAGTTGTGTGTGAAAGAGAGTGTGACAAAGTGGTGTGTGAAAGAGTGTGTGGAATATGTGTGACAAAGTTGTGTGTGAAAGAGAGTGTGTGACAAAAGTTGGGTGCGGAGGAGGGGGCGGAGGCGGAGGCGGACGGGACGGATACAGAATCAAAAACAAGAACCCCACACAAAGATGTGGGGGAAAAACCCTCGAACAACCTTGCACATACGAACATGCAATGGTGTCCGGAATCACGCCTGGAATGATGAAACAACAGCCACTTTCGGACACCTAGTCAAGATGCATGAGGAAGCATGACACCACTGCTTGATCAAAAAACACCCTTTCGGGTTTTGTCACTGGAAGCACTTTGTCTCTAGGTACTGTCCGTCAAACACTGAGATACACATGTTTCGACAGATATGATTCATCTATGTAGGACATTGAAACTTTGGACAATCCATGTGGTAAAAATGGTGACCGCAAAAAAAACGTCGAACGGCCTTGTACATACGAACACGCAATGGTGTCCGGAATCATGCCTGCAGTGATCAAAAAACAACCACTTTCGGACACCTAGCCAGGATAGGCGCAGACGCATGACACCACTGCTTGTTCAGAAAACATGCATTTTCGAACGCCTCTCTTTGCCGGTCACCTCTGGTTTCTCCCAAGAAGACATTTCGGGTTATCTCATTGGAAGCAAATTGTCTCCAGATACTGTCCGTCGAGCACTGATATACACATGCTTACCAAGATATGATTCGTCTATGTAAGTAAGACATTCAAAACTTTGGACACCTGCATGTGGCAAACATGGTTTCGGTAACAAAAAACTCGAACAACTTTGCACAGACGAACACGCAATGGTGTCCGGAATCACGCCTGGAGTCCTCGAAACACAGCCAGTTTCGGACACCTGGCCAAGATGGATGAGGACGCATGACACCACTGCTTGATCAAAAAACATGCGTTTTCGAACACCTCTCTTTGCAGGCCACCTCTGGCTCCCACCAAGAATAAATTTTGTGTTTTGTCGGGTCTCCGATCTATAGTCTCCGACTCTTTTTCCAACATGGCAGGTTCGGAATCTTGGGCCTATCGTTTCCTGCAGGCCAATGCATTGCTACTCCTGCTCGCAGTTGATGCACTTGTCGCACCAGCTGCAAGCACCCAAAAAAAAAAAGCAATTCCCCTCCACCGACCTGCCACATGGTTTAAAATGACACTTGAGCTGAGCTTGACTGTGCATTAACATATACTCTCAGGCCACGATGCGGACTTCCTTGATTTCCACTTTCTGGGCTTGCTCTTTGATCACCGGCAGATAGTTCTCTGAAAACAGCCAGTACGCACCATTTTCCTCCCTTCCCGAGATGGATTCGTGAGACCCTCTCGACCTATGGCCGACCACACGATCAGCTCCACCAGCTCCTGGATCCCCTCCTCGCTGCTTCATCGGCACAGCCCGGCCCTACTGATCAACCAATTTGAACGATTTCATGGCCTTGTCCGCCTTCGAATACTCAATCGGACCCACTTCCTGAACAATTCCACGAAGGTTCAAAACTTCTCCAACGGCACCCACCTTTGCAAAGTCCGAAGTCACGACCGAACCATCCGGCTTCATGGTCACCACGGCCGCATTCAAGACTTGCACCTGGCTCTGACGAGTACTTTGCAGTTTCACCACCGGCTTGCTTTCACTCCCAAGGCCCAAGGGTACAATCTCAAAGTTCACCAGCTTCACGCCAGGAAACAAGTCCGGCGTGCTCTCGTAGCGAGCCCTGAGCTCCTCAATTCTCTTAAGGGGGCTCCACACATTCAGCTGAACAATTGCTGAGCCGTCCCCAAAGGCCACCGTCATGACATGACGCCCTTTGACTTCCTTCGTGTCGTACATCTCCATGATGAAGCCCGACACTGTGATCAAATCCCCTTTCTTGAACTGGAGCAGCTCAGCAACCGCGGCAACTGTCGCTCCAGACTTTGCCGTCTGCCCAGTCGAAACCTTCCTTGCCCTTTCCTTCGGGGACACACCCGTCTCCTCGGGAGCCACAGGTGGCCCCTCCATCGGCGCAGGAGAGTCTTCGACCTCTTCCACATCGGCCATCTTCGCGCCAGTTTCACCGTTGCGATCAGCTTCGTGCCAAAACAGCTAGCACAAAAAATCACATCAGCATGACACCACTGCTTGATCAAAAAACATGCATTTTCGAACGCCTCTCTTTGCCGGTCACCTCTGGTTCCTCCCAAGAAGACATTTCGGGTTTTCTCACTGGAAGCAAATTGTCTCCAGATACTGTCCGTCGAGCACTGATATACACATGTTTACAAAGATATGATTCGTCTTTGTAGGACATTCAAAACTTTGGACACCTGCATGTGGCAAACATTGTTTCGCACAAAAAAGGCCTCGAACAACCTCGTACATACGAACACGCAATGGTGTCCGGAATCATGCCTGCAGTGATCAAAAAACAACCACTTTCGGACACCTAGCCAGGATGGGCGCAGACGCATGACACCACTGCTTGTTCAGAAAACATGCATTTTCGAACGCCTC